TGTTTACTCAAAGAACTCTCTTTGACCTTAATCTTGTATTCCAAGTACTTTAAGTTCATACCATCAGATGGTTCTCCAAAATCTGTTCTAGCAAATCCATCAATGCCCCCTAATGGAATTATTTGGATTAAAACAGCGTTATCCGGGAGAAAAACCATGTTTGTTAATCCAGCTCCATGAATTCCCACTAGTACATCACAAGAATTCACAATTTGTGCAAATCTTGAAAGGTTTGTCGAATGATTAGCCTCATCTACAATAACTTCGAATCCCATTTTGCGAGCCAGTCCAGTTATTTCAGCCTCATTAGTTACAAAACGAGTCCTTTTCCTTGATACAATCATCAAACGAGGCCTTTTTTCCTCCCCCTTCTTCAACTCGATTGCCTTTGCTCTCTCAAGTGAATAAATTTGTCGAAGGAACTGTCTGAAGTTGTGCATCGACAATTCATTGTTTTGAGATTTTGATGGATTGATTATAAGCTCTTTGTGAGATTTAAGGCCAACGATGACTTTTGTATAGCAATGGACTTCTTTTTCTTTGTCTATGTCGATGATCTCATGTCGGGATAGTTTGTTAAGAAATCCTCGGAATTTTGATACCCACCACGGTTTTGTATCAGTCGTAAGAAATTGTACGTCCCTTTTGAACCTCAACGATGTCGAATATATTGGAATAACCAAATCTGAGAAATCATGGAAATGGTTACCTGTATATCCTCCAACTGAGAAAAGGATGGCTGGAAAACTATGATTTTTAGTACACATCGGAATGTCATCCTTATTATTTGCTAATGTTACTGTCCAGTTCTTAACAAACTTCATTGCCCCTAAATTCGCCTTTCTCGCGTAAGGTTGAACACGCCAAGAATTGTTTCCAGCTGAGACGTTTATACCAGACGTGACAAAAAACACGGTGGAAGAATTCGCTTGAATCCTTACGTCCCCTTCGATATCACAATAGTCGGCCATTGGTTCTAAAATGCTGCATATTGGCTCAATTTTCGTCTTTTCAATTGCTGCAAATGAGAAACTGAGTTCAGAATTCAAAGTGAGAAACTGATGGCTTTTCAGCAAATTCTCTTATCAGTGCTTGAAAGTACTAGCACGAGTACCTGTTGGGTGGAAGCTTTCAATCGTGTCGTTAACTATAAGCTTATCCGGAACGGTCTTGATGATAGACAAATTCGCAGCATTTTCAACTGTAATAGAAGGGAAAAAAAATTCAAATTGAGTTCTCTTTATCCAAAGGACTTTTATGAGCATTAGACCATACTCAACTGTACAATAGATAGGATTTTCTTCCTTATTATTATCTAGTACTGATGATAAAAAAAAAAAAAGTATCACGTCTTCAGTAAAATTTTACTTGTTGGTCGAGAGCTTTCGCTCGTGTTGTTAACTATAACAATATCTCGAGCAGCATTTCTTGTAATCCCTAATGCAGCATTGTCATCTGTAAAGAAAAGGGAATAATTTGAAACCAAAATCCTGCATCAGAAGGCCTTTCTGCTTAAATACATCAGTTTCGAGTAGCAAGATTGACGGCAGTGATTGAGCCTCGTATGCCGCTTGTAGCATTTCATGCACGATAGACGAAACACGAAGCTCTATCATAAACTTCTGTCAGTCGTGCCACTCGACGAATGACACTAGGAAATATCAAATTTTTAGCAAGCATTATACCTGTTGGCAGCAAAATCTCACTTGTATTATTAAATTCAAGCATGTCCTGAATGTCATCAATTGACAACTGCAAATTCACAGCATCACCAACTGCAACAAAGAGCCAAATTCTCAAATGATTAAACGAAATGACTAATGTGTTCGAGTTGTACACGCACTCAACAGTACAAAGAACCAAAAGAAAAGTTAAAAAACTTATTCATTATACTGTCTAGTTAGTGTCCAGCATTGCACGCTGAGAACTAGCCAAGAAAGACTTACTGATTGATAAGGGATGTAAATGAGGCTTGAAAGTTGAGCAAATGCTCAATGCAACAATCAAGCTTATGAAGAATGCACAAAACCCAAATCGTTTGCGCTCATATTTGCTAAAGCTTTTTGAAAATATGGGATCATACATCTTTACTTACAAGTTAAGCAGAAGTTGCACACTTTGATGAAAAAAATGCACCTACAAGTGCCACTATTTTGCTTAAAATGCACTGAGTCAAGATGAAGAAAACTATTAATCGAAGCTAACTAAATATGATTTTGTCATTCATGTGTTCGCTTTAATTTATTTAATATTGTTGGTAATAATTAATTATTAATTTGCTGATGACAGTTGACAATCATTACCCTAAATTATATTGTTTAGGTAGTAGTGGTTGTTAATTGACAGTATAGTCTTGAAAGGATTGCCTGAACTGAAGTTAATACAGAATTGATACTTGAAATAATCAGCAATAGAATTCTCTGGCGTAAGTCAAGACATGTTTGGTAAGCTATAGTTGACTCGATAGTATGATGAACTGTGACATATGATCTACCATACTGAACGAGCCCGACAAGGTTCGTGTCCATGACACGAAATAAGATAGTGTGATGGAAGATTATCTTTTTCCGTAAAGTGTAATGGTTTTTCACTAGTGGCTAGAGAAAACCACGTCTTGAGATAGTTACTATAAGTCGATTGAAAGGTCGTTTGTCTCTACATCTTTTTTGGGGACTTGTTTACCTCCATGATTAATAAAAGGTTAAGTTTACGCGCTAAACATCAACCGACTAGAAACTTTGATGACTTAAAAAATTCAGTTAGGTAGTGATATAAATTGAAGAATAATCATTTCTTAGTATCAAACATATACAAATTTATATATTTTCTTGAGATAACGGAAACCCAGAAAAAAAATAAAAAAGGTGGAAAAAAGATGTATTTATATATATTGCTTCTTTACCTGCTCTAATTTAAGAATTGGGATGGGCCAATGTGAGGCACGAGAATGAGACGCGTAAACAAATCTGTCCCTGATGGTAGAAACTTTTGCATTTGATAATACTTTTGATACCTGCTTCCAGTTGACGCAGGAATGCTGCACGTACTTGGGTTAGGGTTTATGTGTAAAGATGAATCGAGCCTTCTTAATTTATTAATTTCTTTTTTTTTTCCGTAATAATATAATTAAGGAACAGTAAAGTTTCGTCCACCGGATTGTCACTAGTGATGGAACAATTTTTAATTTATATTTCCAAAATGATATATTTTTTTTTATATTTAATAAGAAATTTATTATAAATTAAGACCACGAGATTCCATCATTTTTCTCCCATCCCAACAGTATGAGAGCTAAACTTTTATTACAATTGCATAATTCATCCTTAGCCCTTGTTTTGTATAACTAAAAATCATAATTTTAGTAAATTTTAATAATGTTGATAAAATGTACGATAAAAATTTATTTTTGTCTAACTTAATTTTTATCAACTTTTTAAGTCAAGCAAACCATATGAAACCACACCGCCATTCCTCTTTCAAGATAGGTTGGCATCCGTCATTGCAGGATAATTGTGTCAAAGACCGGCTTCCTAACTTGGTCATCACATGTTATTTTCTCGATTCGATCCTTGCTCCATGTAGAACTCTCTATGTATTCCTCTATCTGTAGAGTACATTGAATGTACAAAAATGGCTATAACAGAGTGTCTTATTCGTATTAACAGCTACTCCAAGAAGAATGTTTTTATACAGTGCTAACGATTTAATAATTATTTTTGTAGCTACAAAATGTTTCAGTTTATGCTCCTACCTATTATCTAGATTTACCAAGAAAGGTGTACGGTCTAATGAGGCTACTATAAAATATTTAGGGAAGACTACATAACTACAACATTGTAAAAAAAAAACATTTCATAAATAACAAACTTATTGAAATGTTTCAAAAATCATGTAGTAAATATATTTATTAAATATTAAACTATAATATAATATACATTAATTATTTCCACTCCATGCCACCTCACTCACCCAATCCTATCACCCACTACACCACCTTCCCTCCACCTCTCCACTGGAGATAGCCATCGGCTCCAACATTCACTCTGGCAACTGCTCAGGTAGTAGTTCCAACGACTGGTCCGACAACCGTTCCGACAAACTGTTGTGACGAACGCTCCAGTGACTACTCCGACAAACTTCTCCGACAACTATCCCACCGATTGTTTTGGCTTTGGTGATAGAAAAATCTCCAAAATTTGTGATGATCGTAGTGGTGCATTATGGTTATCAAATTTGCAACCGTGTAATCTGTGACCATACCTGTGTTATATGTGACCAATTCACTGACTTATGTTATCTGAGAATCACAGTGACCAACTTTGCCTTTGTGTGACTAATTGTGACCAAATTTTTATTCAGTATGACTGTCTGTGACCAGATCAATCTCAAGTCACAACTGATCACAATCAATAAAAAATTGGTCACAAACAGTCACAACTAGATCTCAAAAAAAAACCCAGATCTCCAACACAGCAGATCTGTTCGAAAAAATAATAATCACCACCACTAAGAATATCTTTAACTCAAATTGATGACCATAAATACTACATTCACCTCAAATCTATAACAATCATCACTACCATAACTTCCACCAACCCTTCAAGAAACACCAACCAGCACCACCACACTTCTCTCGTGAAACTCCGATGAGAAAAGTGATAGGTGGTCGAAATCTAGAGGGTGGGTAGGAAAGAAGTAGTAGACCTAATTTTTGAGTAAGAGGGTGCCGAACTAATTTTTGGAGGGAAGAAATTGAGTGTGGGTTAATAATTTATACAAGATCCGGGGTAAATTGATACGGGGTCTATGAGCAAGTTTGTATTCAATGTAACTTTCTGTGACCATATCAATCTCAAATCACAATCGGTCGCAATCAACACAAAATAGGTCACAAAAAGATCTCGAACAGAAAAAATCAGATCTCCAACTACAACAACAAATCTGTTCAAAAAAATAATAACCACCACTACTACTAATAACTTTAACTCAAATCCACAACAACAATCATCACTACCATAACTTCCACCAACATCTTCAAAAAATACCAACCAATTTATTACTGAATATTTCTCAACAAAGATTTCCAAGATTCTTCAATTATTTCTCGAAAAGATGATGAAGATTATGAGAGAGAAACCGTAGATCCGATTGTACTTCACCATATGATCCCCACGTTCACGTTCTGTTTTCTTCTCCTCACAGACTGGTTATGCTTTAGGTGACCCATGTACTACACTGGCATTCTCTAAAATCTAAGCTCATCAGCTCTCAAAGAAGAGATTTGCACGAAACTCCCGCAAAAGTTGTAGGTGATCGGAATCTAAAGCGTGGAAGTGGGAAAGAAGCCACCAAAGAGATTTTTGGGTAAGAGAGTGCTGATCAATTTTTGGGGAAGAGAGTGTATGGGTTAGAAAACAAATCGATGTATGGGGTAAAAGAAGTATTCAAGGATGGTAGAGTGGGAGGAAGTAATTAATTAATTTAAAAATTAGTATTTATCACCTGACTATTGGAACTGAATCTTCACCCACTTGTTTTAGAAATGTAATCTTAAAAAGAAGGGATCTAGGTAAATTTCCCAAATATTTACTCATGAGTGGGGCAAACTCTTTGTGATTTGATTCAATAACGTTCCGTTGGATGGGAACATATTTGATAAATACTGATAACTCTCCAATAGAGAATTAGAACAGAAAGATCCATTAAATAATGAACTATTGGTTCTAAGCAAGTTCTACCCAATATTCAAGATTCAAGAATCCTTCTCCCAATGTTCAATCAATGTCTGTGTCTCGGTAAAGTTATCTCAAGAACTAAGATTTTTTTTAGTCTTGTTCACCAAATGACTTCTTAAATGTAATAATTTTACAATACATGTAACCTGGATCTAAAAAGAGGACTCAAAAGTCCTACTTTGACACCATTGAGGTAAAATCTCAACAGGTGCCCTCAAAAACTCAGACACCTCAAATAATGTGCAATAGAAAAGGTCCAGCTTTATACAAAAATCAATCTGCCTCTAGTTGCAAACCCCCTTCTACTGCTTGGACGAGTCGATAGATCCTCATTGTTGGCTCAACTTACCTGCAAAACGATGTTTGTTGCTCGGATCACACACAAACAAGAGACAAACACCAAGAGTTCTTAGCCATTCCATTGTTTAACAGACAGCAATAAGCAAGGAAAGAAAAAACATCTAACAACTTCCATACATAAGCAATGTGCAATGTGTCAAGACGCAGCCTTTTTGTAGACAGCATTATTAAAAACTGATACACCGAACAGTTTATTCCTATTATCTAAATGCGAACCTAAAGATAGTTGACAGCCACATCAAATAGCTTATCTTCATGCCCAATGAGAATTTACACCAACGAAAGACCCTTCAGCCAGTTTTTGATCCCTGGGACAGCCTATTTTGAGACTGGAATTAAGGAATTAGATCAGTTCAATTTTCACGACTGCATCAATTTATATATACCTTCAGATTTTGATTACAAGACAAGAATAGACATTTTTTATTTGACAAACCACGTCCTGGGTAATATGAAGTCTTGAACCTTCTGCACAAACATAATTTATAAACTTCAATTTTCTTTGGAGAATTCTGACTTCAAATTCTCGTATTTCATTAGGTTAACTCTGATTACCTATAAACATCACCAAAAATATAAGCTTCAGTTCATGACATATATAACACCTAAGTACTCTTGTTTCAAATTTCACATGAACAGGTATGAATTTAACCACAAAGCAAAATGCATCGGTAATAAGCTATTTCTAAGTCGTCAACTTAAGAGAACATATCGAATTATTTGAAGAGAGAAAACTCATAAGCACCAAACGCTTCTCTCTCTTTACAGCATATAAGTTTTCGAAGCTCATTCAACAAATTGAAAGGGCTTATAAGCTACTAGAAAAGACAAAGGTTTGATTACCAGCCATACGCAAAGAGCTTCTCAACACAATTGAAATGCTTTCCCTTGGGCTTGTAAGTCAAATTAAACATCCTTAAAGGGCTTTTAAGCAGTAAAAGCAAAAGGCTATTATGGGGCAAAGATGAGTTTCTGAGGACTCAGTAATTATTAGCAACGGCAGACGGGACAGTTAGATTCATCATATTAATTACTCAAGTTACAAGTCACAGGTGCAAATACAAGGAATTATAGCACAAGTGCCATAAAGATGTATCAATCCAGTATATTCATCACTTGATTAGAGGAAGCAACAAATATCAAACTACAGACAATGTATAATTTGACAAGAAAACTAAGTCAAGAACTCACCTCTAATGACAAAAATGTTTACACACCATCACTTGCAGTAGGAAGACCAGTTACTTTACCCATAGCAATGGTTTTCCCTGTCAACAGTGGGAGCCTCAATAATTTCATTTGAAGTTTAGGAATACTACTTGAACAATTGAAAATGTTTTCTGACCTTCAGTGCGAAGGGTGAATCGGCCTAGCTGTGGAAAATCAGAGAAGTTCTCAATGCATATCAAGTTATTTACCTGTAGTGAAATTTAACATCAAAATAAATCAACTTATAATACGAGTATACATAAAGGATCTTCATATCAACATGAGCAAGAGCAAGCATAAAGAACACAGAATGACATTTGAATAGTTTCCTCGAGAATAATCCATAGCAATTTAGCTTTTCGGAATTTTACCACTTGCTAGACAATCGTGCAACGTGCTTATATGGTAGAACAAGCTACTTTTGCACAAAATTATTACCTGAAAAATCAAGACAATTAACCAATAATATCGCAGCTGACCTGAATGCGACATACAACAACTGCACCGTTTTTGACAAAAAGAGGTTTCTTTTTCATAGGCTTTTTTGTTTTTGGATCAATCTGCTGCTTCAACTCAACAATCTCACATTCTTCAACAACTGCATGGATGTGTAAAACTGCCTTATACCCAGCGGTAAAAATTGCCTGACATGACAGGAACGCTTCATTAACATTTTTCCATTATTATGGTTTATATGAGAAAACCCTCCACTCCCAAGCCACACGCAACCCCGCCCCCCCTTACTTCCCAACTTGCATATATTGTGTTATTTCACACACACATATTGAAAGAAAAATGAGAGAGAAAAACCGAGCATATGTAATTCAAGCAAAATGAAAGAAGAAAAACAAAAATGAAATACCTACATTGTCAAGCAACTCTAGAATTTGTAACTGGGCAACAAACTCGGAAACGGAAGCTATCGGCTTTGCTGCACATACAAAATAACGTTACTCATCAAAAAAGAAATAGCTCATTCTAGAACACCCAAATGTAAGCATAACTAAGCCTAGTATTTCTTAAAACCTGTTCCCTCTTTTTCGTTTTAAGGTTATCCGCTCATTCTAGTGGCAGCAGTTAAACTGCATAGCATATTTTAGTGAATGAATTAGTTAAAAAAATCAGTATTGCTGTATCATTCTTTAAAATAACACTATTCTAGTGAATACGAGAACCTAATTGCCATTCTACTTCAGCGTGATTTGTTCTTTCAAGAATTGAAATAGAAGAGAGGTAGTTTTCAACTTCACAACTAGACTGAAGACAAAATCAAAGGATTTCGATTTAATAGGTTTCTTTATGTCTCCAGTGACAGTAAGCTGTGATCTCCAAAACTACATTCAATCCCAATTCAATGTGCAAGGGCGTAATTATATTAAGCTCCTGTTTGGTTCAGTTAAAAAAATTGAATTAAAATCTAAGTCAAAGTCAACAGTTAATTTCAACGGCACATTCAATCAACTTTAATCAAAATCTACTAAAAATCTTATTTTTATCTAAACCAAACAGGGGCTACTTGGTTCTAAAAACAATTGCTACAGTAAAGCAGAGCAGAAAAGTGAATATGACCCCATATTAAAAATAAAGGAATAGACCCTTACATATGCTAGATAGAACAAAACCGGATAGGATATCCTCTTCCTCGATCCCAGATACCCTGACTCGCAAGTTTTCACCAGGACATGCAAGCCTGACTCTATCTTCATCACGGAAAATGGCAAGAACTTTAACCTGGACCTGAAGATAAATTTAGAACTTAGTCTGCAAAATTCTTTCAAGCTAGTAACAGGTCATAAATGTATATTGACAAAAGATCAAGAAAATGGATAAAGCACCTTATTCGGCATGATAAGCATAGAGTCACCTTCACGAATGCTACCAGATTCTACTTTGCCCATAACAACAGTTCCCAAGTCTTTGAACTTATCGATAATAGGCAGTCTACCCAAAAAAGAAAAAAATTAGGTATACAGAAGAACAGAAGCTCGTGTTCCGAAGGAAATCAAGGATAAAGCCAATAATTTACTGCTTTCTTCATAACAAACAAAAGAAAGTTCCACTTTCCCAGAACCAAACAAAATGCAAGTTCTATTCGACAAATTTAGAGAGTGTGATAGTAAATTCTTTCTCCATTTTAGTTACTGTACAAATCAGCAACGAATGATCCCAAATAAATAAAACGAGCCAGAGGATTTTCTGCTTGTTCTTAATGTGCACAAAGAAATTATAACAGTGCTCCAGAATGAAAGGCATCGAGAAGAATGATATAACGAATTCCTAACAACTATGTATGCTATTTGCAAACAAAAAAAATGACGAAAAATATAATTGATGCAGGGGCAAAAGTTAAATTTTTTTAAAATCATTCTGGAACTAGTATTCTTATTCTTACTAGACTTAGAAGTGTAGTGGTAATTGATTAGATATATGTGGTGCCTTAAAGTAGTTATAGGTTTCCAACAAGAATTAGGACTTGTTGTCCAAGTGATCTAAGTTTCCTTGCTACAATGTTTTAGACTTCTTTTTCGTGAATAAAAATATTTTAACAAAATTGAAGCTTAACTAGGCCTAATTATTCAAGAAAAATAACAATTGAAGAACCTAAATTTCCAATATAGGAAATTCTGGTATGATATGCAAGTGTAAAGCGTTAGATTCCTAGTTTTTACTTCTATCTACACCAGAGTCTTTGTTTCTTCAATCTCTTTCAGTATTTTTTTTGGTAAAGCATGTACCCTCGTCAATTCTGGTCTCAAAGCAGTGACTGATCCTAATTTAACATGTCTATGAGACGGCCTAGAATGCCTTGAGTTGACCCGAGCTCCACAAATGCAAAGGAAATAAAGCAACTCAAGCAAGAGATATAAAACTTGCGCGGACATTGCGTGGAAGTCAAACAAAGGTAACGGAAGGCAATTAAGACCTCCTGGACCTATCCAAAAGATGTTTCAGGGATGAATAGTATGTTAACCCTTTCCATATTATTCCTGCAGCTTGTGCCAATCCTGGTAGATCTCAATTCAAGAATCTGAGTTGGAGTTAAGACTTCCATAGAAGAATGAAGTAGAAGACTTCCTTGATCAGGAAACAAGCTAGAAGAGTTGATTCACATTGGAGTCAATCTAGAAGAGCAAAAGATTATTTATGTAAAGCTGAAACCAAAAGGAGTTGACCAACAATGGTGGAAAAGTTGGAAAAGCTACAACCTAGCAAGGGATATTGCAGATTAACACTTACTAATCAACAAAGGCAAAATTGAGAAAGCAATTTTGTTGGCTGATTATAGGATAGGTAGGAATAAAGTTCCATACTTCGCTTCAAATGGAATGTAGTATTGAAGAGTACACCCATGAATTCTATAACTTGATGGTTCGAGTTGGCTACAGTGTGACCACTCAGCAACTCGGAATTGAGATTGTGCATGACAAGACGGATTTAATTATTCATTTGGTCTTGAACATGCACAACTCTACCCATTAAAAGCTTAGGAAATAGTGGGTCAATGCAGAGGTAGGTGTCAACTCTTTCAATAGCAGAAATTTAGCATTTAGCAATCCTCGGAAGAAAAACCTACTTTAATACCACATATGATAGACCAGAAGCGACATCGTTGAGAGTACAACCAGCAAAGTTGTAAGGCGGTCAAATGAAGATGGACAAGGAAACAGATTGATACAACTCTAATGTTTTAAAGGTCATGACATAGGTCATGTTTCTTAGACGCGTCTTTTAGTAGAGAAACTCAAGTATTGAAACAAATTTAAGCAACTCCTATGACTGAAGAACAAGATCACTGTCAAATAATAGCTTCCAATTTTAAGGCTAGAGGAGATACAAGAATGGCTGATGGTCATAAGAAGTGGCTATCACCACATTTGGCATAGGAAAATGCCCTTTAAAGCTCTATCAACCATTTGAATGCTTGTGATGCCTTTTCGTCTCTCCCAGCGCTTTTGATCGAGTGACACCGACATATTATGACCATTTATAGAGTTTCTACGGTTTCTTATTTTTAGGACATGCTTACAATCACAGCAAAGGATAAGAACTTAAATCATGTCTGACAAATCTTATACACTCTCAGAAGTGAGGAATTTTATATCAAGTTGAAGAAGTAATGAATTTATTAGCAAGTGGGGTTGTTGGGTGGGTTACATCGTTTTAGCTGAAGAAAGAGAGACAGATCCTCTACAGATTAAAGAAAATCGTAGAGGGTACATTAATATTCCGGTTAAGTAGCAGGTTTGGGATATTCATTGCAAATTCAAGCATTGAGGTAGACTTAATAGGTCAATGACAGAATAACAGTTATTCTTACCTAAATGGACCTTTAGGATCACGCATAGGAACTTCAATGGCATCAAGGGCTTCAAACAGGCATGGACCATTCCACCACGAACACACACTTTTGTCCAATCTTGTTTTCATATTCATCCCCATAAGCCCAGATATTGGAAGAAACATAACATCTGAAATGAGAAATAATATATAAGAAACAAGAACCAAGAGTCAGAAATTGGCAATCAAGCAGACAAGGACCTTATAATGCGATGTATTTTCTATATACAGATTGCCAGCAGATAAAAAGGAAAAGGAAATATCATTTCTTTCCGACAGTCTCGAGCAGGCTCATATTGGTTGGGTTATTGAGCGGAGGATTAGTCAACTCCAACCAGCAAAAGGGCTTCATTTGAAAGAAAAACTACAGCCACTGGATAAACATCTGCTTGCATTATACAAGAACTCTAAAGCTTCACTGAGGTTTAAATAGCTTCAAATTTATTAAGAATCCTTCAAACAAACTGCAACTAGAATCAACATCAATTTTACCCAATAGATACAATTTCTTTTATAATAAAAAAAGAAAATTTATATTTTTCTCGGACACCATCATAAATTTTTAGCCCAAGACTTAATCGTTTGCTTGTCTTCATTAAAATTTATGCTTTAGACCAGTAATAAAAGATACTAGTGCCCTAATAAAACATTTGCTAATACAAGTGCAGACCACATATATACATAAAAGCCCATCCACAAACTCTAATATACATCAATCGTCGCATAAATATTATTGGAGAACTGCAATCAGAGAAGGAGATGCTGAAGTTAACAAAAAATGAAGTCAATGAATTTCTCTGATGTTCATATGTAACACGGATGATGAGACAATGTTAGACTGTTATTCAAGTTGTTCATCTGTTACACAAAGGCTTAAGCTTTTATTTCAGTACAAAACGTGTGCATCTCCAGAAACTGTGAATAAACACCCCTGCTGTAAGCCTATAAACATAGTTTTAAAAAGTTGTGCGAGGCTTATGCCTCAAGGAAGGCCTCAAGTCTTCATTAAACATCTCGCAGCTGGAACATTGAAAGTCGTTTTCAAAGACTTACGGCTCGATTAACTTAAGATGGGTGAGTGTATGATCATTCTTTTGCCTTGTCGCCTTTTCTACGCATTCTTTTATTGGTCTCCTATTTTATTATAATCTATAAAGTTAACAGTTATTTTTAGTTTTCTGCCTTTTACAAAAATTTCAAAAAAAAAAAACAAATTAGAGAAAGAAAAAGGGAAAGTAGAAGCATCATTGCAAGTGGAGGATTTTTTATTTGAAAAGTAATCAAATATTTTATCAATTAATGGAAAATACACAGGAGTGTATTATCAATTTACACCAGGATGACGAATGACAACAAGGAATGAAAGATCTCATCTGAATTAACATGAAATTTTAGGTGAAAAGTTAAGAAGGTGGATATTACATAAACTTTTCAATTCTGCCTCAAATATAGTGACCATTCACAAAAAAAATAAAAAATAAAGTGTCAATTAGATGGTCAAGGAAAGATTCATGTTTACCTTTCTTCACATTATAACCTGAAGACCTGAGAAATGGCACCATTTTTGACTCAATCTCATCATATCTGAAATAGGAAACAGTATCAGCATAATAAGAAAACGAACTTCAGGACTTCTACAAGGACAGAAGAATCCCATCCAAACAAGCACCTTTCTTTTGACCAGTTTACAGTAGGATCGTCCATTTTGTTCACAACAACTAGCAGCTTTGACACTCCCAAAGTCTTTGCAAGTTGGACGTGTTCACGTGTCTGTCCACCTCTCTCATATCCAGTTTCAAATTCTCCCTTCCGAGCAGAAATTACCTGGGCATAATAGCAGCATACAGAAGAAGAATTAAAAAATCATCAGAAAATCAATTCAAGTCACATAGGATTTCACAAAAATATTGCAAGTCTACTTACTAGTACACCTATATCAGCTTGTGATGCTCCACTGATCATGTTAGGCACGTAACTTTTGTGACCCTGAAAAATCAATAGTGAAAAGACACACTAAATACAATTTTAAAAATAATGGCCACAATCAACCAGACATGAAATTAAATAATAAGCTAGCTTCAAAAGAACACTTCATGAAGAAATATACAGAAGAAAATGTTTACTGGTGCATCCAAAATTGTAAATCTGGTAGTTTCTGTTTCGAAGTGTGCTCTACCAACTTCAACTGTTTTTCCCTACAATAAAAATAATCATAGACAATCCAAATCTTCAGATTCATTCAGATGCATAATTTAGCAGACCTAACAAAAGAAGCAAAATAAGTCAAAACTTTAAGTCTAACGAATACCTTAGCCCTCTCCTCTTCATTTGTGTCCATTATGTAAGCCATGTACCTAATTTAAGAAAATATCAAGGAGAACATCCAGAATAATTGAAGCTACAGATAAGCAATTACAATCTATGTAGAGGGATTAATTAACCATAAAAAAATCCTACAGACAAGATATAAAGATGCAACAAAATATGAACTTGCATGTTTTAGCTGTCCTGCATCAGTTCCAAAGTTAAATGAATGTAAACAAGAAATGAGTAGGTCATTCCTAGGAGCACAACTGTAGGAACAACAAATAAAGGTAACCTTGTCCTAATCTTAAATTACAACATATGCCTGCACCCATGTCCAACAACAATAGCAAACAGAAACGGAGTTTAGGTTCCTTCGTAAGGCTGGGAATATTATGGTTCATCAAAAAATTTCCCATGTTAAATTGGCATTAAATGGGCAGTTCCTCCCTATTGATGTAATCCCGTAATAATGGCAAGTGAGCTTTCAGATTTACAACTTCATCTCATTGTAGAGGAACTTGTGCAACATTAAGAAAGTGAAATCCTCACAAATTATGAATGCAGTACATAAAGTGACAACTTAAAAATAAGTGTGCCACCAATTGTGTTAGACAGAAAGACAGCAAAACAATACTGGTCTTAATCAAAGTCTATCTTAGAGTTTAGGCGAAAGAAAGCCTGACTTGACATTTCAAATCGTTTAATATTGAACAAAATAAGAACTTACCAACTCTCTCTACTTTTATCTTTTGCTTCTTTCTCATACTTCTGGATGGTTCGGTCATCAACTTGACCACTGAGAAATAGTATTTGCCCTCCAGTTGTAGACTTGCCAGCATCTGCAAAATCAGATTATGTATACTACTCATGATAAGAAACTTGGAAATGGTATCAACAGCCTAAAATTACTTTTTAGGACATCCAATCACAGTCCAAGAAATCTTTTATTAAAATAATGAAGTAAACTTCATTTTGTTATGCTATTTGTTCTTTATTCAACCTATTTTCCGGGGTGGGGAGAAGTAAGTAATTGGGTGGTGGCTCTTGAAAGTTGAAAGCAAAGGTTTGAATCCAAACATGTAGAACATGCAGTGTACACAAGCCTGAACCTACCAAGGTGACAAAACTCATACGTGCTATATGATTGACCATCAAAATATCAACCAGTTACAGTCAATATTGCTATGAGCCTATTGACCATAAGGAATGACATACCAACATGACCAATGAATACAACATTCAAGTGTCTCTTTTGATTTCCCTCCACCTCATCTTCAAATTCCTCAGGAGCTGAGCTTTCCTTCTCTCTCACTGAATACATAAAATAAAATTAAAATTAAAAATAAATTCATCAAAAACACAATTTAAAAAAAAAGAACATTCAGCTTTGAGAATCTGAATCAAATTTCATGTCATATACCATCTCTTCACCTACTTATATAGAACCTTAATACATTATGTTCCCTTTACATCCCTTTTTTCATTTTTCAAGGTTTTGAGGTGGTAGGGTGTTGTTGATAGAGATATACAAACGCCCATCACATACAAGCATAGTTTGGCCCATATATGGGCGGACTCGAACCATTTTCATAGGCAGTCAGAGCTAGAGTATATATTTGTACCTGGCCCAACACATCAACCTGCCAATACTAGGGGCGGGTCCACGCCAAACCATTACATATTAATATCTATTATTATCTGATTAGAAAAAACTTCAGCAAGAATCAAGAATTCATAAAATCTTTGCCAAAAAAAGAAATGGCGGAATTTGGTGGTTGTAAGTGCAGGAGCCCATTTAACAGCAAAAAACAAAATGTTCATTCAAAAATTATCCCACTAATGTCTAATCATAGAACAACTGCACTCTCCAGCCAAAAATAAATAAATAAATAAAGAATAAAAGAATGAGCTAAAAAAAGAAGCAGTCAATACAATCATCTGCAAAAGATCAAGTTATAGAGGAGAAGAAAAGAAAAGAAATCTTGATCCAAAAAAAGAGAGAAGAATAAATCAGAGCACCATCAAAAGAAGAAGAAGAAACTAAAAAGGATGAACTTACCGAAACCGAGATGTAAGGAAGAAGATGAAATACAAAAACAAGCAAATAAATAAATAAATAAATAAGACAGAATAATGTTACATGTCCCCGAAGTCGATGTGCCGTCGAGGGTAAGTTGCAGTGTTTCGACCTTCTCAATTTTTTTAATTGCAATGGTTAGGTTTTGAAGTGTTTTTCTACTACAGGGTTGTAACTAAACCAGTCCAGAAACTAAAAAAATCAAAAGTGGGCTTGATAGCTTACCAGGCTGGAATGTGCACTCAGGCACGGCCCACTTACAAAGACCAACCCATGGCCAGAGCTAAATCGAAACCACTAATTTGCTACGTAAAGCAAAAGTAGAAACAAAATTCGAAATTCTTTATCCCAAATCAAATCTAAGAACTTCGAAAAACTATGGCAAGTGCAAATGCATTTGAAAATCAAAACTTGCTTATTTAAAAGTATCCTCAATAAAAATTTTACAACAATAAACAATCTGACCTAATGACAAAGATATGCATAATTGGAAAAAAATTGGGTAAACAATTTGTTTTCTCTATGCAGACAAAAGGACTAAGATAGTTGTACAAGGGATGGGTAAACATTTAAGAAATATATAGGCATCCTTAAACTTGTTAAACTTGTTACTCCCTCATCCAAAATTAAACTTCAGGTTTGACTATCCACATTGCTATGGAATTAAAGACTGAACAAGAAATTTGTAATTTCAAACTTTTTTAAGGGAACAAATTTCAGAATTAACCCTCCTATGGGAGGTCGCTACAATAATATTTATTGTGCAGTAAAACTTTGACCCAATTGAACTTAATGAGCAGTATAAACAAGAATATCGAAACTTTAGGTAACCAATGTAAATTTTGGGACAAACAAAAACAGAAGATAATTGAAGAGTATATTGGTCCAGGAGTACAAAGAGGCAATTTCAACAAGATATGGTTGTCAAATGGGAAAGACAAATTCATAATACAGCCTCATTCTTAACAATGTCAAGGCAAAGAAGACACCAGATACAGCAAAAAAGAGTATACCTTCCGTGACATATTTCTTCTGTTCAACTTGCGCTGGTTTGGAATTTGCATGTGCCAGGTCTTTGGAACCTAGAGCCACCAGCAAGATTAACATCTTGGCATTTACTTATACCAATTGCATAAAAATTTCCAGGGTAAACTAAAAAAATCACTTTACTCATATTGATAGCACATGCTTATCCAGGCATGCATTAAAATATAATCCAAAAGGATGTCTTCTAAAGATGTAGACGAGAAACATTTCAGCAGCTCGAGAATCTATTTCGTTTCCATATTTAACCCAAAGAAAAATATATAAACATAAATGAACTATCAACTTGGAAGAAGATCAGAACCAAAAAAAAAAAAAAAAAAAAAAAC